AGGACCAAGCACCTCAAAATGGAGGGCTTTCAAGAAAAATGGAGGACGTGCCCAAGTTTTTTAAAAAAATACTAATATATTTACCAATGTATGCTTCTCAGCCATGCTCGAAATGGAGGACATTCCAGAAACGTGTAGGGCATTACAAAAGCTAAGGAGCACTCATATAGGCATAAATTCATGGTTTTCAGCCACGCTCATTCATTCGAGAAACATGTAGGACGTGACCAAGCTACTTCCTCAGATGCAGGTTTGGAGTGGAGAATCCAGAGACACACCTTTGAGACTCATTGCAAGAAAGAAGTTGGTAGCATGAGCTTTGGTAGGCTTGAAGCTACTTCCTCAGATGCAGGTTTGGAGTGGAGAATCCGGAGGAGACCTTCGAGATTCACTGAAAGAATGAAATTGGTGCCATGAACTTTCGTAGACTTGAAGCTGCTTCCTCAGATGCATTTGTGATGCTTGCTGTGGGTTGATTTTGTGAAGCTTTGCAGCCCAAGTATGGAAGGAAATGACAGGTTTTAGTTTGGACAGTGAAGGCTGCCCTAAATTCAGTGGTGATTACCTAAGAGAACACCTTTCTAGTCCAATTTAAGCTTAAAACAACTTGTGTGTGTGTGTGTGTGTTTGCAGAATAGGGCAAGTAATGGGAGACCAGACACCTTCCTTTTCCAGGACATATCCCACATTTCAGCCTTCTGTCCAGGAGGAATCCCCCAGTCCTCCATTTTGAGCATGGCTAAGAAGCATGGATTTATATTTCTATAAGTGTTTTGAGCTTTTACTTGGGACATCCTTCCTGAATGTCCTCCATTCTGCGGTGCCTTGTCCTCCTTCGTTGTTAGGACTTCTGGTCACCCTGGATGAGAATAATTCATAATGCGCCCTATTCAGTAAATCATAATTCAAAGGGATCTTGTGATACCAACTTCTCTCTTTCAGGCCTTTGCAGACTGCCAGAAATAGTGCACATTAAATTGAGGCACTGCCCTGGCTCAGTGCTAGGGAATCATGGGAATTGTATTTTTTTCTGGGACATTGAGCCTTCTCTGTCAGAGAGCTCTGGTGCCACAATAAATTACAGTTCCCATGATTCCCTAGCACTGAGCCAGGGCAGTGCCTCAATTTAATGTGCACTATTTCTGGCAGTCTGCAAAGACCTTTAGTCTCAAAGATCCTACAAGATCAGTAGCTTCAATCAAAACAATATTGAACATGATGGGGGGTGGCAAAACAACGAGGCCATCCGTACTGCAGAAATAATCCAGTTTGACACCACTTTAATGGGCATGGCTCAATGGTATGGAATTCTGGGAATTGTAGTTTGTTATGGCACCAGAGCACTCTGACCCAGAAGGCTAAATGTCTTGCAAAACTACAGTTCCCAGAATTCCATACCATTGAGCCATGGCAGTTAAAGCAGTATGAAACTGGATTAT